GGGCGGGTCAGGGGGCTCCAGGACAAGGCGCCCCGGAAAACGCCTGCGGCTGCGGCATTACCATGGCGACGGTGGGGGGGCTCCAGCCGGTGGGTTGACCCAGCGTGCCCCGACCTGGGGAGGGCGCCAGGGCAGTGGACTCGGTCCGGGCAGGAGGGTCCAAGTTCAGGCGACGGTATTTCCAGGAATAATAGGCCGGAGGGCGGTGTCACCGAGAAGCTAGAGGGTCTCTGGGAAGCCGGGGTGGGCGCCCCAGGCCGCACTCGAAGCCGCCGCCACTGCACTGGCTCCGCCTTCTTAAAGGGCGGGCTTGTTTCTATCCTGCCGACACAAAGGCCCTTCACCGCCCGCCTTCCGCCCGGATCTTAAAGGGAACGTGAATGGGCTCTCGGTCGCCTCCTTGTGGCCCCTGGAGCCCGGTCGGCTGCTTCAACACACCTTCAGGTGAGAGAGAGCCCAAAAATGGGAAACTCAGTCTAGATGCCCACCCAGGTGAGAGAATCTTGAGCTAATTCTAGCCATCACTACCCACCCTTCAAGGAGCCCTGGTGGAGCTGCGTGTGAGCTCCTCTGCTAACCCAAAGATGGGCGGTTTGAAGCCACCAGCTGCTCTATAGGAGATGTGGCAGCCTATTTCCATAAAGATCAGTCTTGAAAACCCTGTGGGGGCAAGTCTATTATTGGGACCCACTCAATGCCATTGAGTGGCAAAGGCGTTTTTTGTTTTCCCCCATCAGCCTCTTTTCTGTTAAAGCGGGTCAAGGTACTAGAGCCAGACTCTCATTCACACCCAAACCCACCCCTCCATTAATCTGACTGTTAACCTACCCGTCCATCCATCCCTTTCTTTATTTACCCAGCTAATTACAACAATCCCTACAACACGCATTTATTAAACGAAGGCGTATCGCTTCTCGGCCTTTTGGCTAAGATCAAGTGTAGTAAGCAAAGGCGTTCCTGGCCTGCTTCTGATTCTTCATTTCCCAGCTCAAATCTCAGGCCTTCCCTGTCACCTGACTCTCAAATAACACCCTGCCACCACCCATTACAGCATGATTTCCTAAACAGCACTTGTCATAATTTGTAACGATTGCGATTTACGTCTTTATCGTGTGTCTTCTTCACTGGGGTGCTAGTTCCCTCAAGGCTGGGACCTTGCCTGAGCTAGTGAATGAATGAATGAACGACTGCTATGCATCTGAGTCACACTGGGGATAGAGAAATACAGTAGACCCTTGTGCTCTCAGGGAATTCTCATGCAAGTTAAGGAAACACAGGTCAAAGGAGAGAGCCTAGGAAAGTCATGCATGGGGAGGGGCAGGAGCCCAGAGAGCTGTGAGCAACAGGTCTCTTCCCTAAAACCTGCTGTGGTTGGTTCATGACCCTAATCCTACCTGTTTCTCTTTTTGTTTCACTAGTCGAAAGAAAGCTCACCAGAGCAGCAGCAATTGTGTGTGGTTTTGGATAGGCAGGAGGATAGTAGCGGCTTGGGGCTTCCAGGAGATCTGAGCTGGCCCTGAATTGCCCCCAGGCTGGCCTGCCCTAGCCTCACCTCCTGGGAGTGTGTGACCTCCATTACAGTTGCATATGGACCGACTTAGTACCTGTCGTGTGAGAATGGAAATGGGAGAGAGGACCCTGGGACCCCAACTTCCGTCCAAGTGAGGGATTCTCTCTCTTGGGGTCTTCAGACTTCTGAGTCAAGGACAACGCCCTAGCCCTCCTCTCCCTCCTCCGTGCCGCAGGGTCCCAGGCACAGCTCACTCTGCCCAGCTGTGGACAGTCATAGAGACGGGGTCCAGGGCTTCCCACAGGCCTGGCCTCTGTTTGCTCCAGCTAAGAGGAGATCACAGGACCCAAAAGGCCAAGAGAAACAGTAACAAATTCTGTCCACACGGTAGTTCATTACTTTCCATTTTAATCACCCGCGAATTTTGTCCCCACAAAGATCCCATGTAGGACAAGGAGCCGGTATTATTTTACAGATCAGAGGAGGAAGGGACACACAGCCGCTTAGTAGGGGATCTTCTGCTTGGAAGTCCCATGCTTCCTCCTCCAGCATATGGTTCATGGCACTTGGCACCTGCTTTTCCCACCTGCTTCTAGAACCAGTAGGAAATGTGGAGCTGGAACATTGTCATGAAAGACACACAGGATGTGGGCTGCAGTGGCTGCTGCCCTTGCTCTGTGGTCTGAAGGCAATGGAAGACTGGATCTTCGGAGGATTCGGCCCTCCTCCTCCTCCTCCTCTCAGAAGAGGGGTCTGAACTCTTTAACAACCAAGTAGTAGAGACAGAGACCAAAAAGGAAGGGCTGGGTTCAGTGAAAGGGAAGAGGAGGTACTGGGACTGGAACCTGAGCAGGAGGGCCAGAGGATCCCTGATGCCCACTGTGAAGTGGGGTGCAAAAGGGAGAGCGTATAGTGAGCACTTTGACTTAGCCCTACTAACAATGGCCAGTACTTCCTGAGCACTAGGCTCTTGATAGGTATTCACGCACCTGATGGATGCTCATCTGTCACCTTGACTCAGGTGCAGGTTCACTTCTACTTTACCAAACAGGAGACGTGCCGGTGGCTCTCGCATAGTCAGTAGATGGTTGAGCTGAGATTATGAGCCAGGGGATCTGGCTCTGCCATCCACAGGCTTACTCACGATACTGTTTCGCCTCCTAGAATTCCCAGGAACCAGGTTTTGGGGTTATAAGACACATCTCGTCGTGCGCAAGCTGTCATATGCCTACACACAGGAGCTTTGTTCCATGTGGACAGAGAGCTCCATAGCTTTTGTGGGTACCTCAGGGGTCTGCATCAGGGTCAGGGGACACTCTTCCCCACCTCCCTGTCCAAGTCCTTTAGGGACCTGGACTAGTGCAGTAGTGTCTCCCTGGGCCAAATTCTTCTCCCTTCGGCTCATTCTTTTTTTTTTTAATCAATTTATTGGGGCTCATACAATTCATCACAATACATAGATCAATTGTGTAGAGCACATCTGTACATTTGTTGCCCTCATCATTCCCATCGGCTTATTCTTAAATGCAAATGAGAGCCACATTTTTTCCACTGTCAAACCTTCCATCCCTCCCAGCCACTGGAGAATGACAGAAGCACCCCCCACGCCCACCCTGCAATGCCCTAGCATCGCCTCTCTGCTCTAGCTCATCTTGGGGGTACCAATCCTCTATTTTCCACACGCCACGCTCCATTCCTCCAGCCCCCTCTCTGAGAAGTCTTCCATGATGGCTTCACCGAGGCCCAGTGCCGGTATTCGCTGTGCAGTGGATTCCCATGCCCAGTGACCTGGTGTGTGCCAAGTGGAAGTGCTCTGTAGAGCAGACCCCACAGGCCTACTTCTGAGGCAGCGCTGGGTGGGTTGGACTGCCAAGCTTTCAGTCAGCAGCCCCTTGCTTAGCTGTGTGTGCCATCCGGGGGCTCGGGTCCTTACCAATAAATCCCTGCATGTGGGCTTCTCGCCATTATCCTGTGAGAGAGCCTGTCACCTGCAGGTCCTCCTGGCACGCCCATGCTGGACTCTGGGGTGGCTGTTCGTCTTTGTGTCTCCATGTGCGTGCGGCACACAGTCTGGCACATGGACGGCACCGAGCTGGGGTGAGGGCTGCTGGGAGAGGGGATGAATCAATGCACTGAATGGCTAACTGCGTGCCTGGCACGTTCCCAAGAGCTCCACAAACGTGGGTCCCTCCCCCTTACTGAAGTTTGCAAACGTGCTGGGGTTGATTACGGGAACCGCAAGCCTGGTTTGCATCTATTCTGGCACATTTGCAATTGCATTTTGCCGTGATTTGTAGTTTGATCGGGTGAGCAGTAGGGTGTGAATTGGCGTGATGCCTTGGTGGGGAGGTGGCATGTTTGGGTCGGGAGTGTGTGTACACACCAGGGTCTTGTGGGGTTGTGTTGGTGAGTAGCTACTGTATGTGGAGTGGGTGTGTGGCACGTGTGTAGAATGAATGTGTGCGGTGTGCTGCACCGTGGGCCTGGGAAGAGTGGGGTGGGGGTGGAGCGGGGGACGGATCTGTGTGTGGGAAGGCCATGGCTTCGGAGTGAGTGTGCAGTCCGTAAGGGTATCAGGCTGCCCCGTCCAGGAACACTTTCTGCTATCTGCAATAGAGTGGCCCCCCAGAGCCGCACGTGGCTAATGAGCACTTGCAATGTGGCTAGTGTCACGAAGGAACTGGAGTTGTCCCTGTAAGAGCCCAGAGTACCCCACGGGCCAGTCTAGGCAGACACTTCAGGTTGTTCTCCACGCCACGCAGGTGGAGCGCCTTGTCCTCTCTTACTACACACCGCCCTCAGGACGTAAATCGACTAGTCAGAGCCCCGCGTGAGCGTGTGCACGCGCCTGGGAGACGCACGCGGGGTGGGGGGGGCCGCTGCGCCCCCCCAGGCCCCCCAGGCGAGAGCCGTGAATCAGCCTGACAATGAGGTGACTCATTCGTGGACCCAGCGGGCGGGAAGCCAGCGTCAGGCCGGGGTGGGGTGGGGTGGGGGGCGCCCTTGCCTCCTCTCCGGTGGGCCGGCTCCACCCCACGCACTGCAGATGTGGTTGGAGAGAGCGACATTGGCAAATCAGGGCGCCGAAGCTCATCTGCTCAGCCCCTCCCGCTGGCGCGGGGTCCATTCATTTCCCCCACCCCGCCTCCTCTCCGCTGGACCAGTGCGTCACCCACCTCCCCATCTCCCCAGGCCCGGGGCGGGCGCCAGTCCTTTCTGCGCCACACCGCCCGCCCACCGTCCAACGCCCACCTCCTCAAGCCTGCCTCGGTTGGCCCTCCCCCAGACTGCGGGGAGGCAGGGAGAGGCTGGACCCCGGGTGGAATGCCGGGGTCCCACTCGGGAAGGGAGGCTGACGTCATCGGGACGAGGGGTGGGGTAGGGCGCAGGGCAGGTTGCAGCCAGCCAGACCTCCAGAGGCTGGCATCCAGCTTGCTTGGGGAAGTAGCCAGCCAAACGTGGGACAGAAGGAGTGGCTCAGGGCTTCTGCCTGCTCACCTGTGTGGCTGGTGAAGGCAAGGGCTGGGGGTGGGGGTGGGGGGCGTGGTGTGTGAAACTGGGGCCGGAGCCTTCCTCTGGTTTCCAGGGAAGCCCCATACATTATCCCCTCCATGCCTGACAGCCGGAAGCTTCCTTCCTGTCTGTCTTCCCTGGGGCTCCAGTCAATCTGGCAAGGAACATCCCCCAAGCTTCTGACTTGGACCGCTGGGTCCC